TAGTTAGAGCCTCGGTTTATGTGTGTGTGACGTGTGAGATTCCAACTCATCGGGGCCCCAAAGCTGAGGAAAGGATCACAACACAGAGAGAAACAGGTTTGGCTAACTCCTGTTGTAGGCGCAGGCAGACAGAAGGTTAGTAGTGTTAAAACATTGTGAGGCAGCGTGGTGGAATCAGGCTCTCGTCAAAATAACCAAAGTGAAGAGACTTGCATTTTTCCGCAGGTTTGTGAATTTTTATAAACTTTTTGTTTTTTTGCTCAACACCTTCCATGCCCATGAAAGAACTCATTTCTGTGTGGATTTTACTGAAAAACGTTGATTAAAGGCACAAAAGATATAAATTTTCAGTTACCACGGACTCTTAAGCTAAAAAAATAATTAATCTTTTTCAGCCATTTTCTCACTAATTTTACCTCTGAAAACAGGTGACCCCCACCTCCTTCATTCACAAATATCTCGACTTGTTTTTAAGATAAACGGATATTTTTTCATCCAAATAAAGACAAGCGAACAAGCTTTAAGATGATACCAATAACTCAACGTGCTCAAAAATTGACGAGAGCCTGATTCCACCACGCTTCCTCACCATTGTTTTATTTTCCAAGTAACAACAGTTTGTTTTTTGTTTTTGTTATGTTTTAATGTTGTTACTGTTGTTTGTTTGCTTTTTGCTTTTTTTGTTTTGATGTTGTTGTTGTTGTGGGGGGGGGGTTGTTCGTTTTTGTTGGGGGTTTTGTTTTTGGTTTTGTTTATGTTTTTGTTTTAAGCTCCCCAAAAATGTGCATGGTACAGATGAACCCAGAATTTAATAGCTGTATCTTTGGTGAGGATACCTGTATGTATATATTCCTTGATCAAAGAAAGTATTTGGGGTGCAATTAGACAATAGAAAATGATATGAGGTCTGTAAAACTGAACAGTTTTAGAAGTTTTGGCATGTTCATTATAGCCTTAGACTTAGAGTCAGAAAATTTTGGTAAGTGCTAGCAGATTCTTGTCTGTAATGCTCGGACATGATGATGATGATGATGATCCGATGAAGCCTTATTGGCGAAACGTTGAACTGTGAAAAATATATATTTTTTGGAAATACAACAAGGTCTTAACTGTTTTAATACCTTCTTTATACAATGATGATGATGATGATGATGATGATGATGATGATGATGATGATGATGATGATAGTTCTTGGTGAAGCCCAAACTGGGTGAAACAATAAAATTATTTTTATTTAATGATACCTTGGAATCCATTTAAAAAAACACAAATTTCCATACATATGTACTGATTTCTTGTACTATGCAACAACGATGATGATATTATTATTATGGGGACCCAGCAATAGACAGCGAAAGATCTTGCCAGTATCTTAGTGTTTTAGCGCCTATAAAAGGCCGCTTGCACTGTATGCTTCTCAGGAAGTTGAGGTTGTTTCAGAATGCTCTCAGGTCTGCTGGGGTAATAGTATAGATTTGGAAGCGCATACAGCCTGCTGTTGAGCGGGGTATTTGCGCTATACAAATGATATCTATTATTACCACAATATTCTCTGTCTTTGTTTCAGGTCACTGACGGCTTTGTTTCAGCGTAAGAAAAAAAAGAACTCTCCCAGAGACGGAGACAGAGACAGCGTGGACGATAGTGCCAGGTAGACAGTGCAATTAATGAGGCTTTGACATAGACTTATATTGAACTAGCTGGGCCCCCTTTCGATGAAAGGAATGATCGGAGCATTAACATCAACTGAAAGTCATTGGCCAACTATATTTACATTCTACTGGAATGGAGCAATAAATCGTGAGAGGTGCAAAAAATTAGAAGGTCTAGATAGATCTAGATACTCTCAAAACAAAATGCGCCTCGCAAAATATCACTTCCTCACCGGATTTTCTAAAATTACAGAGACAGAAGCGATCGGCGAAATAAAGAAATTTAGCTTTTTGCAGCAAAACTGTCCCAAAACTGAAAAAACGAAGGGTGTCATGATCTGGAAAATATTTTAAAGAATCTTTTGGCAAAAACCGCATGTCGATCGATGCAGCCATTAAAAAGCCTTTTGAATAGCAAAATTCGCCCAACACAAATAGATAATAGATTATGATATCCTAGACCAGACACTGTGGGGGCTCTCGTGGCCTAGAGGTTAAGGGTTTCTCCTCTCATTCAAAGGTCCTGGGATCGAATCCGGGTTTTTTTCTTCTCTATAGTTGTCTCCTTTCTCCTTCTTTCCTGCTCTCTTGCAATGTTCTGTTGTCTGCTTTCGTCTCCACTTTCTGCCCAAATCCCCTCTCCTCCTTTGCCCCCTCCTCTGGTCTCCCGACTCTTTCTCCAGCCTTTCTACTGCTTCTCCTTGGCTCCTTCTTACTGCTGTTTTTCAGCCACACCCCTGGTCTTCTGGTAAGAAAGATCTACACCTAGCCTTCTCGGACAAGGGAGAAAAATCTTGGAGGTCCCATGTGCAAGTTGTGCATGTTAAAGATCCATTGGTGGTCAAAAATCGATAAGAGTAGGCTTCGGCCGCCACCCGGCAAAATTAAAAAATTCCTACCCACTGAAAATATGACCTTATGCAGTTGCGGGCGCGTAAAACCTCTATTAAAACTAATTTTAAAAAGACCGGATTTTGTCATGGCAGCCGCTCTTTGCTCTCTATAAAAACCAAGCTTAACTGCGCTGGTGGGTGTCATGGTGCACAACTGATGGCAAAACACAAGTCTCACTATATTATGTGAGTGGGCGCGCAGTCTTTTCCTTATTGCCCTTAATTTCGTTCCAAATTGGATCAAATTGGATCAAGTGGTGTGTTCCATGGTGAACCGGAAGTGCATCAGAATGAGCAGTCTTTGATGTCGGCGGCAAGTTATTCAGATATTCTAAGCCAAGAAAGTTAAATTTTTTTCAGGAGAGACTAAAAAAAAAAGTTTTATTTCTTCAGGAATGTAACTACATAACGTATCTTTTCTTGGTTTGTTTGTTTGTCTGTTTGTTTGTTTGGGTTTGTTGGGGGGTTTTTGGTTTGTTTTCAACATTTAGAATCTGATTATCAATAAAACATTTTTTGAGGTTATGCAATCGATACCATAAATAAGGAAACTGCAATGAAAAAAAAATGAAGGTGGGGTGAGTACGTCTAACTTGGACATACACGCTAAGAGCCGAACCCAACGATATGGGATACTTGATATATAACGCCGTCAAACCACTGGTGGCGACACCTGTTTTATTTTGCATTAGGGGCAGTTGTAGGAAGTGACGTCACTGGTGCTGTACACAAAAAGTAGGAGCGACGATTGTTGTCAAACAACCTGTCCTTGAGAAACGGAAAGAAACGTTTTTGTCAGCGCCGATGATGACGTCCCTATGACTACGCTTGCATTTCCTTTGGAGGTTTCATTTTTTCAGAAGTGGGGAAGGGGGGTGGGGGGGGGGGGGAGGAGAGGGGAGAAATTATTTTGTGACATTTTTTTAGATCATGGACCACGTTGTAGTTTGATAAGCTTACCTTTGCTTTAAGCTGACGCAACTTGCTCTCTCCACAGTGACCGCTCAGGCGCAGCAGGTTCACCGAGAGACGCCAGCTCCTCAAAGCCGGACAAGCAGAAAGAAAAACCAGCCAAGGCTCCAAAACCAGAAAAGCAAAAGAAACCTGCCAAAGAAAAGCCTGCCAAACCAGAAAAACCGCCAAAACCAGAAAAGCCCCAAAAACCGGAAAAGTCCGCGAAACCTGAGAAACTCAAAAAGCCCAAGAAGCCTATAGTGACCGCCGTCATGTCGTCTGATCCTGGGTCGTCTGGTGCCGAGGCGGACGTGGGCGGGGTCATGGAGGGGAGACCACTCTGTCGTCTGCTGCAGATCAACGAGGACGAGACAAGAGTTGTGGAACTTGTCAGGCCTCAGTCTGGGCCCTTGGGCGTTTTCTTTTCGAAAGAAGGTCCGGAGGCCATGGATGAAGGTGAGTTTGTTTGTGGCAGTCAAAGCACTTCAAAGCCGTGGATCTGACAGTTGAAAAGCGCATGATGGTAGGATGGGTGCTGCGCTGTTACCTTAGTTGGCATTGGCAGGACGCGACCCCAGTGAGCTTAAGAAGATGTCACATTTTCACTGTTTAAAAAAATGGAGATACGACAAGAAAGCACTTTGGTCGCGAGGAGTGTATTATGAGAGAGCCTGGTTCGAATCTCAAAAACACATTTCTTGAACTTGGTCGTAAATATGTTTTTGAAGTCTCTGATCAGGACATTGAATCCAGACATACTGGAGATAGCATTGCTTAATTAAGAAGTCCAGGTTTCCACGGCACCTTTGTGATGCACAAAGTTTCAAACTTGACATCAGAAGACAAACGTCTCCGGTGTTGTTGTTAGGGTCCCTCTTATTGCCACTGAAGACATCGGTATTTTTTTTTTCCAAATTTGTGTCAGGTATGTCCGCCTTTCTGCTGGGATGTTTTACACCATTCAGCTTGGGTTGGAACTTACAGGCAAAGTAAAAGTGGTCTATCTTCTAAATAACCTAAGCAATGTCCAAGGGGACGTAAAATAATTCAATCAATCAATCATCTGTGAGGATTCAATCTAATCATTTCTTGCTGGGACGCAACTCGTACGGTGGGAATAAAAAAAATGCAACACAATCATTGATCACTGGTAAGGAAACAAGTAGATGAATGAAACACCAATGAAAACGTGAGTGAAACGCGTATGCATTAGTGGAAAAATGTGAGGCAGTGTGGTGGAATCAGGCTCTCCTTAAAATAATCAAAGTGAAGAAACTGGCATTTTTCCACAGGTTTGTGAATTTTAATCAAAATTTTGGTTTTAAGCTCAACACCTTTCATACCATTTAAAGAATTCATTTCTGGGAGGGTTTGACTGAAAAACGTTAAAGGCACAAAAAAATGTAAATTTTCAGTTACCACGGACTCTTAAGGTAAAGAAATAACTTACCTTTGGGGGCCAATTTCTCACTAATTTTACCTCTGAAACAAGGTGACCACCACCTCCTTCATTTGAAAATATATTGGCTTGTTTTCAAGATAAAAGAATATTTTTTTCGTCCAAATAAAGAGAAGTAAACAAGCTTTACGATGATACCAATAACTGTACATGTGCAAAAATTGACGAGAGCCTGATTCCACCACTCTACCTCACAAATGATTGTGATATAAGTAAAAGTAGGAAACGGTGGGGGAAATAATGAATACACGGGGGAACGCTTGATGTGGCGGAAGAAAAGAGGAGAAAGAACTTTCTTTTGTTCTTTTTCTTTCCCTTCTTTTCTTCTTTCTTTTAAAGGTATGCATGAACTGAACTCTTAAAGTGAGGTTTCAATACTTATTTTTCCTCTGCCAGGATTGTTCGTGAACGCTTTCCAAGACAAGAACATCATGAAGTTTTTCGCCGGGATTCTCAGCATCGGGGACGAAGTGCTGGAGATTGACGGGTGCGACATTCGTCATATGAGCCTGGACGAGGTCAAGGACTTGATACTGCAGAGGGAACGGATGACCATGAAGGTCATGCCGGTGTCCGTAACTCGATCCACGCTCTGAGCTTCTAGTTTGAACTCTTAGTACGCGCATTCTAGGGCTTCGACCACGCTTGAAGGAGCTCGGTTTTAGAACACTAACTGAGGGCATTATTTCGTTATTCATCAGATTTTTCCGTTCTGTTGTGGTTTGTTGTTTTGTGTGTGTGTGTGTGTGTGTGTATGTGTGTGTGTGTGTATGTGTGTGTGTGTGTGTGTGTGTATGTGTGTGTGTGTGTGTGTGTGTGTGTGGTAGCCTATCCGTTCGAAATGTTCGGAGCCCAGAAGAGCGTGCTCTTCGCCAGGGCCACCACCTCCCTTGGGTAGCGGGTGAGGCAATCCAACCTCCCTGAAGAGATGCCACCGTCGTGTTGTTGTTGTTTACATTGCATGATCATGGCTTAGCAAGAGCAGTTCAAGATAAAACATGCTGTAGCAGCACAATTGTGGTAATGTAACCATCGCGTGTTGTAATACTCCAGTCACAGTAATGGCAAAGCAATCACCATGGCGTGTTGTAACACACGTAGAACAATAATGATAAGTACCCAACCGTGGCGTGTTGTAACACACGTAGAACAATAATGATAAGTACCCAACCATGGCGTGTTGTAACACACGTA